TGTTTGGAAAAAAACAGAAAATAGAAATCGTGTCTAATATAGTTATTGTGGCAATCACTGCCTGCACAGATATAGATATAGTCTTGTTTGCTGTACCACGACCTACTCGATGTATTAGAGGAGGTGTTGGATGCACGGCGCATGCGCAATTACTAACGTGGCTATAATTAGAAATCACTAAAATTATAAATATTAGTTTCGAATATGTTGGCTTAAATTGTGGTCACCTATCTCTAACAGTGACAGGTTGAATTTCAAACCATGATGGTTCAAAATCCTGTATCAAAACAAACATATCCTGAAAATTTCAGCTAAATCGGTTCAGTAGTTTCCGAGTCTATAGGGGGCAAACAAACACACAAACATTGATTTTTATATATATAGATAATTTTCGAATATGTGTTTCGTAAATCTTCTTTCTTTTTCTTTGTTCTTACTGCTTGTGAAGTAAGGTATACTGTATTTGCAAATCGTTGCTGTTTTTTGTTATTCTACCTATGCTCCGTTAATATTTAATGTCTGTAACCTATGCTGCCATTTCAATGGTTTGAAATTAATTCTGTCCGTTTTCCATAGCTGTGGATTTCAAGCTGTACGATAGACATGGCCAATAAGACACCTTTTTTTAAAAGGGGGGGGGGGGCGGTTGCCTAGTTGACCATGGTTCTTAGTGCGCTTGTTCCCAAAGCGAGGCCCAAACGCTGTCTGGATGCGACCGGTTCGATTTCCGGCACGGTAAATATAACTTTTGATTTTTATGTTGTCTAGTGTGTTCTTCTATCTTTCTACTTCTTTCTATGAGTGCCGATCAATAAATTGTCTGTTACATGCTAATAAGGTAAAGCGATACAGAGAGGAGTTAGATGTAGTGTGCTGTCTTTTGCTAGTTGTCCAGCTGGTGTTAACTTGTTCGAGCTGGTGTTAATATCACAATGCGTTTGTGTAGTGTCTATTTTATTCCGTCCACCCATATCTTTCTTGTGATCTGACTGGACCTGTAGGCTGTTTTCATAAAGAACGCTCTTACTGGTGGCTGATTTTTTTAAATTCTGCCCAGCTGAGATGAGTTGACTCAAGAATTGACATCACAGCACTAGGGGCTTTCCCATGCATGCTCCAACCTCATCTTCAGCAATCAGCGCAGAGTTCCAATACTGATGGTACCGGTCATAATCTGGTCATATGTCCGTCTTGCCTTTTTTCTGAGTGTAATGAGCCGGTCAGACCCTCTGGTTACACCCAGGTGTCTCATTCTCTCCAGGTCATAATAATCTTCTTTCTCTACTGATTCCGTTGTTTGTTCCCACAGCACCCTGTCTTGTCATGTATCAATTCACCCCCTAGTGATGCAAATCCAGCCAAACTGTCTGCCTGTTTATTACCCACTACGCCGGCATTGCCTGGAGAAAAGACATTTTGACCAGATGATGACCAAGTCCTTTGATTGTTTGATGTTTGGTTAAATTATTTATCAGTACCGTACCAAGCCTTGTTCTTAGTTCCCTGACCCCAGCATATGCGCTTGAACAGTTACAAACTCTAATGACTTGCTTGGTTTGTGCTAGAATCTGGGACACTGCGTGGTCTCCAGACATAGTGTCAGCCTCGAGTGCTAGGGGTCCTGGGTTCAAGCCCCGATAAAGGATATGATTTTTTTTCACTTGGACTTCTAGTAAAACTGGGTAGTAAGACCCGACGCCCGTGTGTATTGTTGCGCACTTAAAAATCCCTTGGCAATTGGAAATCAGAAAGAGTAGCCTAACGGCGCTGCGCTAGCGAAATTGGATTTAAAAATTTACCTAAAGTATTTTTCCTCGCCGGTGCTACAGAGTTTGTGCTTGCGTTGGAAGAAGAACGGAGCACTTATGAATTATACCTGTATGTCATAATGGTGATCCGTTGTATGAACACAAACATACTAAAAAAAATTCTAACTGCACTGAAAAAAAAAAAAAAAAAACTGATTTTCTCACACAAAGAAAGAACTATACCCACCTATTTTCGTTAAAAATCGAAATTTTGGTGGTACGGAGCACACTATCGATTGCTGAATGTCATAATAATAACTATCCTTTTATTTGCATTGTACAACTTACCAGATCTACTCTTTCATGATTAATTTGGGAAACGAAATATGATTTTGTTAGACAAATATCAGCTACGCATTGTTATTTTAATTATTGGGTTTAAGATAACAGTGATATTTTAATTGCCCGTGTAACGTTAATTGATTGCTTGAAAGTGGCTACGCTGAATATATAAACGTTACTTTCTTGTTGTACTCTTCATTACGTTGCAAGACTGTTCGTAGTTTATTAATTACACTTGGAGCAGTCATTATATCATGTAATGTTAAATGAGGGAAAATTGAGGTTTCCTTTTTTTATAGTCAGTTTCAAGAGTCCTGCCCGACTCTCAAAATGAGTACCTCAGTAACTGTTCGGTGTAAAGTAGGTAAGTAAAGGTCCCTTTGCCACGTCTTTAGACGTATAGGGCATCTTATCTCGCTTCATCTCGTCGCATCTTATCTCCTGTTATCTCCACGCATCTTACACCAGGTCAGCTTTTATCGCATGATGTCATGGTGAAGTTATTGTTTTCCAATGTTCTGTATCGACATCCTAACACATCAGTCTGAACCATTTGTTATTTCTCTGTATCGACATCCTAGCACATCAGTCTGAACCACTTGTTACTTCTTTGTATCGACATCCTAACACATCAGTCTGAACCATTTGTTATTTCTCTGTATCGACATCCTAACACATCAGTCTGAACCACTTGTTACTTGTCTGTATCGATATCCTAGCACATTAGTCTGAACCACTTGTTACTTCTCTGTATCGACATCCTAACACATCTGTCTGAACCACTTGTTACTTCTCTGTATCGACATCCTAACACATCAGTCTGAACCACTTGTTACTTCTCTGTATCGACATCCTAACACATAAGTCTGAACCACTTGTTACTTCTCTGTATCGACATCCTAACACATCAGTCTGAACCACTTGTTACTTGTCTGTATCGATATCCTAACACATCAGTCTGAACCACTTGTTACTTCTCTGTATCGACATCCTAACACATCAGTCTGAACCACTTGTTACTTCTTTGTATCGACATCCTAACACATCAGTCTGAACCACTTGATACTTGTCTGTATCGACATCCTAACACATCAGTCTGAACCACTTCTTACTTCTCTGTATCGACATCCTAACACATCAGTCTGAACCACTTCTTACTTCTCTGTATCGACATCCTAACACATCAGTCTGACCTACATGTAACTTGTCTGTATCGTAATCCTAAAATATTGGTCCATTCATTTGTTACTTGTCTGTATCGGCATCCTAGCACACTGGTCTGACCAACTTGTTACTTGTCTGTATCGTTATCCTAGCACAACTTTCCGACCTACTTGTTACTTTTCTGTATCGTCACCCTAACACATCGGTCTATTTATTTGTTACTTGTCTGTATCGTCGTTCTAACACATCGGTCTATTTATTTGTTACTTGTCTGTATCGTCGTTCTAACACATCGGTCTGAACCATTTGTTACTTGTCTGTATTGTCATTCTAACACATCGGTCTGAATCACTTGTTACTTGTCTGTATCGATATCCTAGCACATCGGTCTGACCCACATTGTATCTACATCCTAACACACCGTTCTGAACCAATTGTTACTTGTTTGTATCGACATCCTAACATATCAGTCTGACCTACTTGTTAGTTGTCTGTATCGTCGTTATAACACATCGGTCTGACCCGTTTGTTCCTTGTCTGTATCGACATCTTAACACCTTGGTCTGATACATTGATTATTTACTGTCCGAATCGATATCCTAGCACATCTGTCTGCTTGTCGGAAGGTGGTGAGTTCCACATGGAGCCGGACATTTTTTTCGAAAATGATCTTGGCTCAGGTCAACCCAGCCTTAAAAAGCGACCAGGAAAGATCGTAAAAAATAAAGGTGGCTGGAGTGATGTTGATCCCATCATCAACGAGAACCAACTGGTCTATTAAAAACAGGTCGAGCCCTATCTGCCCAATACTCCTCAAGGGGTGGAAAGAAATCGTGTTCGAAGACTGTTTTGTTCGCGACTAGAGGCGTTCGTACCCCGAATTACCATTGTATTTTCTTATATTGTTATTGAGAATTTATTGTCAACACAACAATGGCAACGTCACCAGCATACATATCGCCACAAGGAGACTCGCCTCTTTATTCCTCACCCATTCTGATCAGTGACCAGGCCGTATTAACAATATTAAACGTCAGCTCCTATTTCACTGGAATCATCAGTTTCTTTGGCGTTATCAGCAACATCATCAACAGCATTATCTTCATCATCCAGGGATTTCAAGATACGATTAACATTTCTTTATTCAGCATTTCTATGACAGACATTGGATCTTCTCTTGCTGTCCTGTGGTACAGTCTCTGTCATAACCCAGTATTAATGCGGATGTATGAGAACTGGGAGTTCGCTGAAGTGGAGTACGTAACATCAGGTTGGCCACGTGTAGGTTTCGTACGCGTAAAAGGAATGCTGACCGCTTTGATAACTATAGAAAGATACCTCTGCATCGCCTACCCTCTTACTGTTCGCCGCTTGGTGACACCTTGCAGAACTTTCACCGTCAATTTAGTTATATTTGTTATTACGGCAGTTCTGGTATTTCCCGTGTTATGTTCCTTCAGTCTGGCACATAAATTTAGCACTTCCAAAAACCAGACCGTATTCGGGATCGTTTACAGTTCTGAGGCCATGACAATTATTAATACCACAACGCCAATCAACAATTTCCTGCAAGTCTTGTCGTTTGTTATGGTTGCTTTGCTAACAATTATGGTAGTTCACAAATTAAACAAAAATTTAAAATGGCGTCATGCGTCGACGGCTGTAACTAAAAATTCTTCAACTTTAAAAAGAGGTCAGCGAGTTGCCAAGTTGGTTATTTTGATTTCCGTTAATTTTATTTTCCGCTATATGCCAGTTGTTGTCTTTTTTCTGGCTACAAGATTTGAGGAACAGTTTCGAATAAATGGCCACTACAAAAATATCTTTAGTACTGTTGGAATAATTACGCTTCTTTCTGAATCGATGAACGCTTCGACAAATATCTTAATCTACCTCAAGATAAGTTCGAAATTCAAGCAAGTCTTCTTCAGTTTGATGAGTTGTAAACTTAGATTGCAAAGTTGTTAAGAATACTGGACAGTGAACAAGCAATCCGAAATGTGAAAGTGATATTGTGCATTGAGATATTTACGAGAATATGAAATATTTAATAGAAATATAATCACCGAAAGTGGCAAATTGGATGAAGAAATTGTTCCTTGCAGCAAACAAACAACTATTAGCACAGCAAACGTCTCCAATGTTAAGCTTCGAAGTTATTATTGCTTCCGACGGCGCTTTGCTAATGCAGTTTCTACATAAGGACGGTAGTCTACGGTTTCGTTGCCTGAGCTTCTGACTTTAGTGCTAGGTTTCAGCCCAGTGAACTGTGTTTTTCCTATTAAATGCCTTTAATTTGTTGCGCTGCTGTTTTGAATTGTTCAATATGGCCGGTGGCCGGTTTACGTGTGAGCTGGTGAAATACCTTATGTGAGAATTCTACGTATGTATAGTAACCAACTCACTGTCCCTGACCACTTCCATCAACGACAAACTGAATTTTTGGTGGCGATCGTTGGCCTTTTCGCCTCGAGCAACTAAAGTACGCATTTACTGCGTGCACATATTTCCGTATTTCTCTGGGACTAGCTGTTTATTCATCAGTTTGTTTTCTTCAAATCCAACAGTGAGGGACATTTGGTTTGATTGGCACTGGCACAGGAACTGAGCAAGTATGGCCACTTACAACAAGAAACAAGAAAATAAGCAGCCATGGAGATACGACAGCTTGAAAAAAAAAGGCTGCATGACTGGTTAGATAATAAGAAATCAAGTTTGAAGACAAAAGATAATATGTCGGCACAGAAACTATACACGAGCTTAAAATTATAATTATACGCAAACAATGCAAAGGAAAAAAAAACTGCCCACGAAGTGATGACGCAATGTGATGTTACATTCCTGCAGGTATGCACCACAAGGGTAGTAAAAAGCAAGTAAAACGAATGAAAAAACGAACTTTTTTTCAAAGGGTTAAGAATTGGACACGCAGGCCGTCTAACATTCTGCCCTTCCACTCCATTCCATGCACACATTTATTCATTTGTACCTCATTTCATAGTTAATTATAATAGTAATAATAATAATAGAAAGAATTTGAAAAAAAAATGTTTTCAACATTTAAGTCTTAATTACAATCGCGGGAATGTGATCTCATTATACCTACATTCTTGAACGTTTTTAGGTTTGAGATTCGAGCAACATATCAACATCATGGCACGCAGGTAGTAACCCATAAGTGCTCCGTTTTTCTTCTAACTAAAGTCTGAGTCAGAATAGGTTTAGCATAGTGTAAGGCTCTGTAGCACCGGCGAGGATGCTGAAAGACTTTTGGTAAATTTTTAACTACACATTTTGCCCGGGCAGTGCCGTTAGGCTACTTTTTTTTATTTCCAACTGGCAAGGGATCAATTTAAGTGCACAACAATGTACACGGGCGTCTGATCTGACTACCCAGAGACCAGGGGGAATTACTAGAAGTACAAGTCCACATGAAAAAATCCCAGCCCTTACCGGGGATTGAACCCGGCACGTCTAGCACTCGAGGCGGACACTATGCCTGGAGACCAAGTAGCCCACATATGAACGTTTTGAAAATTAAAGCAATAAGCCTAATCCAAAAATATTTTAAGTCTAATAGGCTGCACAAAATAAACATCAACATTAATTAAATATTAGTTACAAACGCTGGAATGCGTTCGACTTGCATCTTCATTTAACACAAAAATAAGTTTCAGTTTGGGAAAAAAAATGTAAATAAGACATTTGATGGAAATACACCACAGGCTTAACATAGATAAGGCGAATAAACGTCGCTTAGTGCAAGAAAGCCGGACATAGATATCACAAAGTCTAGTTTGAACATTTTAAGTGGAGGCAGCCTCCACTGCTTTCCGCTGGCTTGAGAATCAGCTGTACACACATGTCGTCTTTGTAACTGACTCACAGAGCATGTTGAGAGATGTGACAGTCGTGCTCCATGCAGAGTGGCAAGCATCACTTTAACGGTTCAGGGAAGTAAGTATCCTTTGGATGTTTTGTCCAGATTATGCCGGTGTGTTGGGAAATGAACAGGCATATAGTCTGGCCATTTCTGCACCACTTGGGGTGTAAACTGATGTATGACAAGCAAGATATTGTGAGGGTCCTTTGGGAGCGAGTGAATAGTGTCGAGGCATAGATGGATGATTACCGTCTGAGGAGAATGGTGTACGGGTTCTTTTTCCTTTCTGTACGGGCTACCAAGTAAACGATTATTCTAGGGGTACAACTGTCAACTAACCAACGACTGGCAGAAAAACGCTGTAACGAAGTCAACCCTTGAAAACTGCTACATTCCAGAACACGTCGTTGGCAGGCAAATACAAGAATTTTATTAAGCAATTCCTCACAGATGTAAATGGTGTCAATGAAAGGCATATAGTACAGTCACTATATGTAGCACAGCTCTCTTCTTCGGTGCATATGTCGTTGTCACACCCAGGTTCGTCTTTAGGTTTGCTACAGGAGGAGTCGATTGGAAGATTATAGACGAGGAGAAAGATGGTCGTGTCGATAGTGGCGATGATGATGATGTCCTGCTTGCTACATGCTTGCATACAAAATGTTTGGAAACAACTGTTCTCGTCTGTAGTGTCTTTATTATGATACATCAGCAATGTCACAAAATACCAGCAATGACATTCTAAATAGTGCTGTCTGGTGCTAACGGATTGATCGTCGACTCGAACATCTCTATAGTTCCTACCTAATATGTCTCTGTTAACCATGGATCCATGTATCTTGTGTGTCGTCTCTGTAGCTCGATGTCTCGTTTCATGTCTGCTCTCCATTGACTGTCTTTAAGGTTCCAAATGAACGGCTGCTCTGCTTCCAGTGTTGAGCTGGCATCAAGGATCATTGAGACTAGACGCTCGTCCTCTGAGTCTCAACGACTGAAGGCTTCTAGTATTGGGCTTACATCTCTACTACTGAAGGCTGCATTGAGAGCCCATGTGACTGGTCTCTCCTCTCTCTCGAGTCTTATGGACTGAAGAATCTTTTTAAAGTGCTTTGTTGCTCGCTATTTATACTTGGATGCTGGAATGCTAGGTATTTGTTTTCGTTTCGCTTTGTCCGCTTCTAGAATATACTAGTACGTCTAAACTTGTTTACTATGTACGTTCTCACATGGGATTTGCTAATTATATCTCGATTGCATCAGATTTCATCATCCTATTCTACGCAGATAAAGTAGTTAAACTGACAATTGAGGTCATAGAAGCTTCTAGAAAAACAAGGACAATTGTGTTTGCTTTGATAGGGCACGTCAACAAGGTATTCACTAGTACGACAAGGTTGGGTCACATGATGAAAAGAATGCATTTCAAAACTTCTAGAAAGAAGGCCAAGGCCAGACAACATCAGTTTGATGTCAATAGCTTGTTTTGGCGAGAAAAGAAGATTCTGGAAAAGGGAATGTCAAGGCTGCCAAAACTTGTTGATTTTCAGTTCACCATGAATCTGCGTAATAACCCACTTCCTACAAACAAGTAATGGCTTAACTGTGTTACAACCCTTCCCTCCTAAAAAAAATGTTCACTCATATGTGAACATTTATGCTTCTATGTCTACTCTCAGATGCCATTTTACAATTATTATAAGCCATGTACAATTATACATCAACATAATTCAATTATACACCAACATCTCATATCATAAATGCAAATATCAAAGGTTGCGATCCTCAGCAACCCATCTCTAAAGTTACAATCACTGTTGCAGAAAAATTAATCATTATCATTAACATAAACTTTAACATCATAGGTCTTCTAATTATTTATCTAATACACCCATTACTCTGTTCTTCATAAGTGTCATTTCAAACCCTGCAACACAATCTCATATATAGTTGAATACTCTTGTTCAATACAATGCATCAAATACATGTACACAATACATCAAAAACCTCTCTTCTTATGCGACTACTAATGAATACACAGTATGTCATCTCCCATCTCTGAGTACCATTCTATCATGCATCATCAAAAAGTGTGTGTGCAAATACAATTTAAAAAAAAATGTTTTTTAGTATTTAAAACTATTCATTTACATCTCATAAAACAGATTCCACATTTAAGATACATTTCTGTCTATTTAGTTTCGATGCCCATGACTGTAACATAAAATTCTTTTACAGCCACCTGCACAATGGTTCAACATATTTTTGTAACCGTATGCTTATATTTCCTCTAGTACCAGGCATGAACTGTTTTTATTACCAACTTTGTACAAAGCCATCCTACCTTTCACAATCTCAAAACAGTTGTCCCTACTGCCGCTGTAATCATCACTTTATTGTTGACTGTGGCTAGTCGGTGCCAGTCTCTAGCGGTCCCAAATCTCGCATGTCAAAACAATACATTGTGTCGCTGTTTTGTTTACTTTAGCACGAGGGAACAACGTCGAAGTTTCCGCCAGTAATTGCATGTCACATGCCTAGTGGGTGTTGTGACTGATGAATGGCATAGTTGTCTTGGGTTTGAATCCTCACTTGTTTAAAAGGTGTCTGGACATCTGCTACATGTTTTTTTTTTTAATACATCTCTTTAGATCTTACACAGTAACATAATGCATAGTAAACTTCGTAACATTTGCAATAATTAGCATTAATCATAAAAATTATAATGACACAGTACATGAATGTCTCTCAATACCTCATCATCTCTTATCTCTTTGTCTCTATATGTTGACCAATATAACACCATGATTTGGATGGGCTGAGTTCAAATATACTCATTGAAACTAAAAGTAATCTCTGGTCTCTCTCTTGCACTTTTTAATTTTTTTATTTGA